ATGTCACTCAAATATGAACGGAACGGGGACGTGTCATTGACAATGACTTGTTGACATTTAATTCAACCCTTGGATGATATGCATACAAATAAACATGGGCGTATATTAAAATGAATGTGACAAAAATATAAGACTGTACATAGGTATCATAGCAAAAAAAAATGTCAATGATACATTTTCAATAGAACATTATGGCTGCCAGTTGGCCATTTTAAGTCTAATCTCAAAACAAACTTTTACAGACTTGCATCTCAACATGTATAATGTATCAAATTTGAACAAAAAAAAATTACAAAGCATGTCCAAGGTACCGCAATAATCTGATTATGAAACAAACCGACAAGGACATATATTTCAACATGTATGATGTATGAGCCAATTATGAATGAAAATGGTCTTGGAGATAAAATAGGCCGAAAAGCAAGATGGTCACCTGTACGAGGTAAAACAAATTGTTATTGACACGTATCCTAACATGTAAAATGTATTTACCAAATTTGAATGAAAATGACATAGGATGTCCAAGATGCCACCTTTTCAAAAAACAAAATGGCCTCTCGTCTGCCATATTTGAGCTGATCATAAAAACTATACAAATTAATTAAAAACATATTACAATATAAAATCATCAATATGTTTTGGAAACAAAATGTCGCCAATATGTAATACAAACAATCAGAAAGACAGAATTTAAAAGAAAACATTACTATGCATATTAAGGGAGACACGTGAAACTATAGGTAAGTTATTTAGGCAAATTAGGCAATTAGCAAGTACAAAATTTAACCTTAAACTGAGCATGTTTATTGCTTATCTCAGAATCTATGTATCATTGAAATCATAATGAGTGGTTGATTTATTGGTGGACAATAAAAAAAAAGGCAATTAATATGCAAATTAGGTCATTAGTATTCAGTGATTTCAACCCAAAACTAATCAGGTCTGCCCATCATCCCAGAGCATCTATGTAACAAGTTTAACTGAAATATATTTGTCGAAAGAAAAGTTAAGAAGCCTTAAATTTGATCAAATTAATATCCAAATGGGTCAATAAGATGCAACGATTTCAATCAAGACTAATAATTTCTGCTTATTAACCCAGATTAAATTTTATTAAAATCTGTTAAATGGTAATTGAGAAACAAGTGAAAAAGCTCTCAACAAGTCAGAAGTACGTTTGATCTTTCCCAAAGTGTCCAACATCACCATGGACCTATTTGAGTGCAGTTCCATGATATCTGGAGGGCAGTACCAACTGATAGTACAATTTTCCACTCCATTCACAACGAAGGACTTTTGAAGACTCCCTCAGTCCAAGACAAACATTTATGATTGTTCTTTTCTGTCATCTAAAAAAGGAGGTGCTTTATTCTGATGGTACTGATACAACCTTCCTATCTCAGGGTCCTCCAATTGTAATACTTTCAAACAAGCCATGGCTGTGGATGAACATGCATGTCGCCATTATATTACTTCATCAATATGTATGACAGGCCATCTGCATCACCATTATGTATCCCAGGTTTGTATTTCAAAGTGTAATTAAATGAAGTCAGAGCTGCAAACCATCTCTGGCCAGTCATGTTCAATTATTTCCGAGTTACTATTTTTCTCACGAAATTCGATAGAGGGCGTTCCCAAAGTACCCGGATGACAGCCCTTCAACGTTCGTGGTGGGGTTGAAATTTGAGCGGCGTCTGCTGTAAGCAATATACTAGTAGTTACATTTGCCAAAATCTTATTTTTTTATTTTTTTGCAGAGGTGTTATCTACTGAAGAGTGATCTTAAGAGTGGGTGGATCAGATGATGTCATTTCAACTGATGATGTACAGCAGATTGCTATCTGTGCCTCGTAACGAT